AAGCATAACTGCATTCTTCTTCTCAAAAATATTCTGAAAATCTTAATATTGACTTGAAATGCTTCTTGAAGTCTTTCTACCAATAGAAATAGATGTGGCATAAATAATATAAGATGGACCTTTTTTACCACCATGCAAAAAAACTCTTGTACTTACAAATATAAATTTGGTTACATTAGGCTTATGACTTTTTACTTACTTAATAATAGAAATATATATATATATATATATTAAAAAAAACTAAAATAGCTATTTTTAAAATATAAAAAAATTAGAGATCCTTGAAATTAGGCTATGAGTAAGAAAAGAATTGACAAGAGTGAAGAAGGCTTCACTCTTGCTTCTATATATATTATCTACCTAAAAACTATGTGGTGATGTTCTAAAGGACCTCTAACACATGTCTAATTTGTAAGACATATGTCTTAACTTGTAAGGCAAGTTTTCCATGTATGCACCACATCATTAACTTGTACCAGAAGCCACCAATACATACAACACGTGCCTAAATTGTTGGCTAAGTTTGTAATCTAACAAATATATATATATATATATATATATATATATATATATATGTATATAAACATGAAACTATATCTATAAAGCTTCTATAGATGATATTATGAATTTTTTTTCTTATTATTTAGATAACTATTAAAATAAATATGTATATTTGTGATACATGCACCTAAATTGAAGAAATGTTGAAACATCTATTCTATCCTTAAGTTGTAATGTTGTTATATAAAATTATATCATACATGATTTTATGCAAAACAAGAATAGATTCTTGGATTTTAAAAAAAATCAAAAAAAATATGCTCTGATATTTTACAAAAAAACAAAAAATATTTTCATTTTAAAATAAGATAATAATCAAAAGAAATAACTTGCTTCAAAATTACATAAAATAATAATGAACTTCCAAATAAATAGTATATAATTCAAAATAGCTACAAAACCTACATATAATTATAAATGTGCTAAGATGCATCATAGATATTCAAAATGACAAATCCAAAAATAAAATTAAAAGACATCTATTTGTCTAAGTTTTGCATTCATTGTTTGGCATTATTTATACAACTATTGCTTTTACATTTTATTCTACCAATTATGTATAATAATTGAAGTAAGTATAATAATAATATTTGATATCAATTCCAATATAGTTTTAAGGCATGCTTCATATTCACAAAGTGATAATAATAAAGATATATATATATAAAGAGATATATTTATATAATTATATTGATATTAAAACTTGAATTCTTTAACCAACCATAAAAGTATGTATTCTAGCACCTTGAATATATATACACGTATATACACATATATTTGTAAGTTTTAGATAATTAGTTCTACTACTTGAAAAAAGATCCTAATCATAATGGACATTTTTACATTGAATCTACTACACAACATCCATAATGGATGTCAAAAGATAAAACTTGAACAAGTTTTAAAAAAATTCAAATCATTTACTTACATTAAAGTATTCTAATAACTTCTAATCAATTGCAAAGAAGTCTTTAACTAAGGTTGCTTCCTCTGTTTTCATGTCTTTAACTACAATTTTGACCATGTAATAGTTAACACTTTAAGTTGAAATAAATAGCTACTTAAATTTGTCTAAGAGCATTCAAAAAATAGTTTGCCATAATTCTTACAAAATGCATCTCAAAAAGAATGTTTGTTTGGTAAATATGATACCATTTGAATCACATATCTTTTAAAATAAGAGAACTTAATCCGTTAAGGATCAACTAGATTCAAATATAAAGAATATAAAGTAAATCCAAAATATACTTATTAAGTGCATATAAGAGCATGTCAAGTTCTTTCTAAATATAGAAATTTAAGATAATATATTAAGTACTCATAACTTTTATAAGTAATTGATTAACCTCTAATATATACCAACAAAATTTTAACAAAAGAACAAAGCTGAAGTAATCAATTATTTCAAAAGCATTGAACTTTGTTACTATAGATGTGAAGCATTCCACCAATAACAATGATACCATCAAAGTGACAACATTACTCATCGTAACAAGTAACAGATAATAAGTCTAGTAAGAAGCAACAAACTTAAGCAGATCTAAGCTGCAAAATTAGAACATGACAGAGAATTTATTTCAATATTAGTCTCTTTTATTCTTTTAAACAAATAATTAAGATTCTATCAATAAGGAATATGGCACATGGAGTCAACTACCATTGTAGTGACAATGTAGATTAGATAATCATGATTGTAGATGAATGTGCTTGGTTTTCATTGGTTATAGTAATAGAGAGATGAATCTAGAGATAATTATTTTTTCATAATTGAGATAATATGTGAATTACTATAGTAAAAATTTGGATCACTTTAATATTCCTCTATATTATTTAACAACATATACAAGTCAAAGAATATTGTCTCTTAATACCACCATTAAATTATACCTAGTTTATTTTTAGAAAAATCCATTTCTACTACTAATTATTTTTTCTAAAATAGATATTGAAGGTGTTTTGAGTTTCTAATTTCATGAATATAATTCAATCATTGGTTTCAAAGATATTCTACAATATGGTAAAAGACAGTCTTTTGTGTGTGAAGTAAAATATGACTTCTAAAAAATAAATGGTTTTTGAATTTTTTAAAAAATTGAATGTTTAATTTTACTTGAAAAGAATAGAATAATAATCCACTAATGTTTTTTGATAAGAAATTCAATCAATTTCAGAGAGAACATACTTAATTGCATTACAGATTTCAGAGTTCAATATTAATTTGTGATGGCATATTTTTAAAACATCATCAATATTTATCTCTGTTAACATAGCTTTTCTAAATACCAGCATATAATTACAAATACTAATTTATTTGTACAATTTTTATTTAAGTTTATCCGTTTTTCTTTTGAATTTTCTTTTTAGTTATGTTTTTGCACAAGTACCTTTGTCAAGTATTCTATTATTAATTGTGATTTTTTTCATTTGAATTTTGAGACATTGTGTTTCACAAAATGGCCAAAACATATTATGAAAAAAGTACTATGTGAGTCTTGTTCAACCAAACTGTTAACAATCAAAAATAATAATGACGCCTAATTTGGAAACATGAACAAAAATTATAGATCATCTGCAATAGACTATAATTAAAAAAGCAATGAATCCTTTTAATCCATTCATTATTTAAAATGAAGTATTTTTTATATTAAAATATACTGTAATGAGGTAAGCAAGAAGTTATGTAATCTTTATACAGCATGTAAGTGTACACAAAGTATGCACTATATTGAAAGAAAGTCACGTGCATGGAAACATTATGTCCCATGTGTAGATGCCAGGTCTTAAAATTTTAGACATTCAAAATATGTTGACAAACCATTCCAGTATTGTGGGATGTAGAGACCTACAAAAATTTATAAATATATATATATATATATATATATATAATCTACTCCTTGTATACTCTTATTGGATGCCACAGAGGATTTCAAAGAGTGTTGCAAAGAGTATTGAGGATGGTAGTATAATTTCTAGAGACTTTCTAACATTTCTAGAGAGGAGTTGCTTAAAATTGGTGTTTTGTACATTATTTTTACAAATCCATTTGAAATTAAATATTTCTTGTTTGAATTAATAATTCAATAGAATCTAGTAAAATATATATTTTTTTAACATTCTTAATAAGTCAATCATGTTAAAGTCATTTTCTTTACATAAAATGTATATTATTGATTAAGTTAATATTAAGTTGTATACTAATTATAATAATTAAAAATACATTATGTATTATTCATCATGTAGTATATTTTTTAAAAAAAATATCTTTAACCTTATTACAAATTCTATCATCTTTATAAAATTTCTCTTCATTTGTGTATAATAATTTGTTAAAAAATTAAAACATTATAAGTTTTTGACTTATTCTTACAATTTTATTTTAGGTTCTCTCATTTGAAGAAGATGGAAGTTGCACAAACACAAGTTAAGTATTTAGGGTATAGAAATGTGTTGATGAAGAAATGAGATATTTGGTCTTAAAAGGAAGGTTTTTATTCTGTGAATAATAGATCCACATCTAATACGAGCCACAAGTTGTGGCTGCAAAACAACACCAATGACATATGTTTAAGTGATAAAAGAAATTAATAGTCAGCAATTAAAACTCTAATAACATGTTTTGTAAAAGATAATTAGCTCATTTGTTAATTTATTATTATGATTATTATTATTATCATTATGCTTTTGTCCATGGAAAACAAATAAAAATATTTCTACTACAATAAATAACATATAAGTTTATTAAAATATTATGTGATATCTCATTTGAGATTTGAGTGAAGATTGACATAATTGATCATTCATTTACTTTCATTGTTTATTATCAACTAATACCCACATAAAACACACACATACATTCTTATTTAATGAAATAATCAACACTACATACTAGTTGAATTCATGTTGTTTTCACTAAAAATATGCAAAAAATTAGTTAATTTTGTTCAAGGAACTACTCCTAAAGTTTAACCATAAGAAATCAAAAATTGTACTAAGTCATTCAATTAAATGTTTTTGTATAGAGATGGTTGTTGCCTAGAAATCAACAAAGTGCATGTCACAAAGCCACAAAGAGTTCACATTGCAAGTAAGGCTTGAGTTGCAATGATAGAGACACCATAATTGGTAAACACATTGTAAACATTGTAATCACCAAGAGACATTGGAAAAAAACCTCATCGTTGCATACTTTACTAAAGGACCTCTCTTCCAACAGTGATGCAACATGTACACAAGAATACGAAAAACTTCGTGAAACTTGAATCAAAATGTGGTGCAACTTAAAGTGTGTCAAGGTCAACTTGCAAGAGGATTTACTTAAGTCTGACCTGAATGTTCATCATAGAAACAGAGAATTATTGTGAAATTTCATGCAAGCACTCCCACACTTACTTCATCAACGAGCACAGAACCAACATAATCAGGTGTGAACAGGGTTCTAGCGCCTCCTCCTCCTGCTCCACCATTTGCCTGCCATTTGAATTTAGCGAAGAAAACGACGTCTGCCTCGGAGGTGGCTACTGGCAATGGAGATCGGTGTTGTGGATCCCTGTTTTTTTTTCGTGCCGATTTGTGTGCAATTTCCTGAGGTGGTGTAAGGTTTTGTTGGGGGTTTGAAGTTATTGTGGTGAGGAGGAGATTTGGGTCTTGTAGGGTAAAAGAGTAGAGTGATTTTTAATGATGCCGGTGGCATGGCGGTGTGGAGGAGCAGATTCGTCAGGGTTTGGGTGTGAAGAAGTGTCGTTGGAGAGAGCGTGTGCGAAGGAGGCGGACACAGCCTGGTAGAAGTGTGTTTCTGGGAGTTTAAGTGCAGAACACGGAGGCGGGAGAATGTGCGTGCCGTCGGATGCGAGAACCTGCATCTGCGCCGTGAGCTGCCGGAGATGTTTGGACATTTGGGAGCTTGTTCTTAGCTGTGGTGGACGGTTGATTGTGTTGGTTTTTTCAATGACCTCAGACAAAGATGCAGCAAATTTCTCGATCATTGTTTCTTCGACCAAGCTGCATGATTTTGAAAAAATCGCTAGTTGACACTGAAATACCGGTTGATTTTGAATTCTGGTCGGCCATTAGACAGAGTGTTTCGTCAGCTGCTGCAATTTCGGCTCTACCGTCGTCTTGCCACCTTTCGACGGGGCATCTTAACTGAAAGATCTATGTACGCACAAGTTGGTTGACTTTTTGTGAATTGGAGGTGCCGGCGGAGCTTTTCATGGAACCGCTCTGAGGTGAAATGCCTGCATCGCTTCTACAAATTTTATCTCAATGTATTTGGGATTGGGATCATAGCCTAGAATTTGTGAATTTGGCTCGGTCGTGACATTTTTCTTCAGCAGTTACTCGTGGCCTACCTTTGTACATCACAAGCGGGCAGAACTTGATATGTTGAGTTTAAAGTAGCTGCATTATAATCGATCTGGATGTTGCAGGGAGCACCTGAACGCCAAAGCAGCGGATACGTACCTGTGTGTTCATGTTCATGGTAAGATACCTTCATTCAGGTGGAAGCTCATTACTCTTATCTTAGCAATTCATTTCCTCTGGCTTTTCCCCAATTGCTCTTGAACACACAATGCTGATACCTCCTTTTGCACTATCCATTATTATCGTTGTGTTTCCTTCACTCCAATTATTGTGCAGATCAACCACACAAAGTCCGATAGCCACACTGGATAGCCCACCTAGACATTGTCAAGTGCCCGACAGGTTGGTCGATGAGGTCCTCCACGTTGTGTGCTGTGATCATCTGTGTCATGTCTTCAATGTGACGGCAAACCCGCGTGAACTTTCATCGAATCTAATTTGATGCAGATCTCCCGTGACAAATCACTGTGAATCACGGCGCACCATCTCAACAAACTCGCTGAACACGAGAAGGGCTTTTGATCCTGCAAACTGACTTTTTAATGTTTTCCCTTCTCGTGCATCTTTGGATTCAAAGTCTGAGAAGCAATAAGCGACTTTTCTCAGAGCTTTGAGCACACACTAGCAGATCCCCTGGATGAAGACCTAATGCGGTTCTAATTCCGTTGGGATGAAACTATTCTGCATACATCCTAAGTGGCAATTTACCTTGAGCTCACTGTAACGTACCCAATAATCAAATGCAAAGAATGTCACAGCTTTAGCCCAATCCATAAAGGTTTCTTGTATCTTATCTTCTTTCGAAAGATTTTCCAAAATTGCCACTACAAGATAAGAAACTATTCCAATATTCTTGACTAATGGAAATCTTCTCTCAAATTGGTTGTCATGTGGACCATGAACACAAGATCAAACATGACCCTGAGAAGTCATTGAGACTATGTCAAACTTGCAGCAACAGTAAGATTGCTAGATGAAGATTTAAGGACTCGTCACAATCCAAAGCAAAATAGAAACTGTGAGGTTCCAATCATACAAGCATGTTTTGGGGGATAGAAGACATGAGATGATAAGTCCATTCATTCATGATGGGGAAGCATCCCCTTATTATTGGGACTCCATAGGGGTTCAAAGCTATCCCCTGCCACAAGTCAAGTCTTGCACCATAAGCTTCTCCCTGTCTAGCAAGGCTCAGTCCAGCCCCCCTATCCTGCTGCATAGACATTTGTGCATATATATATATATACAAATAAATCATATAACCTATAGTATATTCCAATGAAGAATGGCCCAACCATTGGTGTCTACAACCTAAAATCCATCAGTGTATGAAAGCAGACAATCACAATTGGTGGGCTTTGTTCTTGTCCAATGCAAAGATTATAGCACATAACAGTTGTGACAAATGTGGTCCAAGCTAAAGCATATGGGTGCTTCACAAGTTCATGGTATGATCCCATCAGATCAGCTCAAATTCCTTGATAAGAGGGGTTTTATTACAAAAGAGATTGTTCCTCCTAATCCAGTACCAAATAAAGATCTAGAAATGACTTCAAACTAGAGAAATGGCTGTGTGGTGTTTTGCCAACCATTGGCTGATTGGTGGACCAATTATTGTTGGTACAGAATCCATCTTAATTGAAACTGGGATCTTAGTGCAAATTGATTTTCCCTTTTTAATGTTTACCTGTTTCATGAATACGCAGCAGAGCAATTCACAAAGTTTTGGGAACAGGTTGTAAAGGTGTTAATGTGTTGCTGCCTCATCTAAATACTCCCCTGCACCCATGAATAATCAGACTGTATTCTTTTTCGTTGACTCTATTAACCATTGTTATTATGTATTATTATAGTTTTCTCTAATTAGTATTTATTAATTTATTTTTACTTTACTCTTTCTCTGGGTCAGTCCAGAAGTGCCAAACAAGGGCTTCTGTTCCATGCTGCAAGTACTGGTCCCCAGTAAGATAGTCCAGGCTCAAAAATCTCCCCTTCCCAAGACTACTGCCACTGCACCACTGCTCTTCACTTTGGTTCACTGTTTCGTGTTCAGAAGCATCAATGAATCACGTCAGTAATTTTTGCAAAGCTCAGAGATAACTTAGTATCCTCTATTACCCCTTTTCACATGAGGTGAAAACGCGTCACAAAGTTCACGATATTTGACCCCTCTTGGAAGAAAGAATCTGTCCAACTCAGAGCATAGTGGGTGCCACCGTGGCAGTACAAAAACAGAGGAAGGAAAAGGGGGAAGTGTTCAAAGGAGGGGGGGGGGCTTCGAGCCCAACTGAACAGCCATACATGCCATGTGGGACAGGCTGTATGCGTGAGCAAGCTATTACGGAGCTGGAACGGGCAGCCTCAGAAAAAACAATGGGTGGACCAGCCCCGGGTTCACACTAATTTTTCCGGGATCCTGTAATTAGGGTGGGCTGCATGGCCGCTCGCTCTGTGGGGCCCAATTCGGACGGGGAAGCCGATTGACGGGGTCGCGCGGGTCCACAGACCCGCCCCAGAATGGAAGGCTTCGTCAACAATGGACTCACTCGCGGGCGGAGACGACCCGGCCGAGCGGGGTTTCGTCGGGTGGGAGAGGCAGCCGGCGGTCATTAATCGGGCTCCACCCCGCCAGCCTTGCGCACGATCATTGACGCGATGAATGTGCCGCGGAGATGATGAAGAAGGGGAGATGGTGTTGGAGTAAATCTTGAATTTCGAGATGGTAGTTGTTGTGACTGCGTGTGTTTAAGCAGTGGTGAGTGGTGTTGTCCGGCGTTTTTCAAGGCCACGGGTGGCTGCCTGCCCCTTTTTTTCTTCGATGAATGCTTGACCCCCTTGCCAGTTTCTGGGTCTAGAAGCGAAGAAATTTCGAGGAAATTGTTGTCTCGATAGCCGGGCTGGTTTGAACACCGGAGGCCGTGAGGTTCGTGTGTGAGACAGCAGCGCTGGAGTTGGAGTTTGTGTTGAGTTTTTGAGTTTGTTGTTTCACGGATCGCCGGCCTTTGGCAAGGTGATAACGATGTGACGGTAAGGCACCCCCGCCCTGTTTGTGAGGTTTGAAAGGTTCTTGAGGGTCGTGGAAGAAGTTTAAATTACTGTAGCAGGTGCGTGGGGCGGTTTGGGAGAAATCAAAAGCCCGAGGTTACGACTGCTGTGTGTAGGTTTGGGGATGCGGTGCGTGTAGACTGGGCGTTTGAATTTTGTTGGAGTAGCGGGAACCTTCAAGTGCGGAAGTTTGATTTTATGGTGGCACGGGTATGGGAGGCACGTTTTATGATTGCATATGAAGTCATTTGAGGTGAGATCCACTTCTCGCTCGATTGTCAGTGGGGATGATGTGTAACGGTTCGTTGTTGCGGGGTTGCCAACCATGATGGAAGTGGAATCGATATGTGGATCACGATGTGTCACTTCAATTTCTCCGCATCATGGTGTCGCAAGTTGATGCAAGCCTGCCGTCTGAGTTTGTAGCAAGCGCTGCGCATCTCATTAAGGTTTAGGGTTTAACGAAATTCTGGATCGCTGCGTATGAACCAGCGGCCCCAGGAGCCCTTTGAGGCTCTACAATAATGGCAGATGGTTGGAATTAGGTGTCATATCAGTGCATGGCATAACGTTCCTACGAGAACTGGATCGTGTAAGGTTGCAAATATCCCTTTGTATTCCTGAATTCTCTTTGTCTGGGGACTCGCTTTGTCTTGTAGTCCAGATCAGCTATGCAATTATATTACTGGTGGCGAGAATGTAAGTCATGGGTCTCACGGTCAACTTCGGTTTTGACTTAGGTTGCAGATCTCTTTAAGTTTGTGCCCGCATTAAGTGATTAGTTAATTGAGTTTCCCTGCCTTTGGGGATGTTTAGCTCACTTATACAATTACGGTAACCAATGGTAGGCTGGACTTCATGAAGTCTGACCTGATGACTTTACTGCTGCAGCCCTTTGGTAGTCAGGTTTGTAACTCGAAACATTGGTGATGGAGTGATCATTTTACATAGCTCTGAGTATATATTAAACGATTAATTCAGGTACAAGAGGGGACAATACGCGGGAAGAGACCGAATGATGAAATGATCGGCGGTTCAGGAAAATCGCATAATTGTGATGATACCTTCAATAAGGAATCCGGCATGGATTTCAATTTTGTAATTGAGAACTTGAAGCTGGAGCTTCGAAGACTGGAGGAGGAGAACCATCTTCTGAGAATTGCATCCAATGAATCCAGTCAACTAGTGGGTAATTTGCCGCTGAATAAAACGTGCCTGGAGAGTGAAGGTAGCAAGTTAGAGTCAGCTAACCAGGAACATGAGGATGACGGATCAGTGGATCATGAGGTGATTAAGGCGCAATTGCGTACAGCTATTGATAGTTACGCTCAGTTACAATCTGAGACAGCAGCTCTTAGGAAGGAGAAAGAAGATGAGGTGAGTAGGTTATTAAATCAAATAGTAGATCTCGAGGAACATCTCAATAAGCTTGAGGGAGAACACACCAATGTTCCGGAAAAGTCTAAAAATATGGAATCGATCTCAAAAACCGTTTATGATGAAAAAATCCAACTGAAGAGCCAAGTAGATTCTGTTTTAGAAGGTAGACAGAAAGGAGAGAAAGATCTTGTCGATATGCTGGAAGATTGTCAAGAGCACGTCCGCGACTTGGAGGTCGAACAACACAACTTGTTGTCCACTGCTGATATGTCAAATGCTGCGGTTCGTCAATTAGAAGACCAGAATTCTGCGTTACCAAATGTACTTGAGCAGCAAAAGAAGATTGCAGAGAACAACATCTCGGACTTGGCTTCTGAACTTCAGGTAACACAGGTTCAGCTGCTCGAGCTGCAGATGCAGTTACAAGGCCTCCGTGAAGAAAACACGTACGTTGTGATGAAAGCGAGCAAGCTGGATCAACTTGTGGAGGAGTTAAAATCTGATAAGCTGAGGCTTAGCAGTGAACTTGAACGACTTTCTCGAGAGAAGGAGAGAGGAGACGAGGAGTTTAAGGCTGAGCTCAGAGCATGTCAGGAACAGCTCCAGATTTTGGAGGTGGATAAATCGACATCAACGACATTAGTTGATGGTCTAAATTCCCGAGTGCTAGAGCTAGAAGAGGACAACAAACATTTAATGGGCATGTCCAATGAAGCTAGCCAATCCGTGCGGGATCTTTGGGAACAACACACGCGGCTGATAGAGGGTTATAATAAGCTGGAGCAGGATAAACTGGCCATCGAATCTGAGAGAATGGAGTTGGTAGCCGGTATTCAGACAGTTTGGGAGCAGCTGCATGCAGCTCATGAGCGTGAAGCACTCTTGACCTCTGACCTGCGGGGACTTGGTGAAAGAAGAGATGCGGAGGCAGCTATCTTCGATCAAACGGTAAGGAGCCTTGAACAACAGTTGGAGGTGTTGGAGAAAGAGAAAGCTGATCTGTGCTCGAAGTCTGTAGAAACCTTTCAAATTCTTGAAGCGTTTAGACAAGAAACATCACAGAAGGTCAATGATTTGCAAGAGGAAAAGGCCAAGCTTATGCAAGATGTTGCCGAACTTGAGAAACTGAACGAGGAAACAGAACAGGAGATATCTATGAAGCAATCCGCCTGGGAAGCGCAAGTTGGAGTGTTAGAATCTGAGAAGTCTGAAGCTGTCAGTAAGTCTGAAGACCTTGAACAACGTTTGCAAGTATTCCGGGAGGAGATCAAGAATTTGATGGAGAAGGAAGAAAAATCTAATCAACTCATTCAAGAGTTACGGAAGGAAATACTTCGGTTGCGTAGTGAGATTGACAAGCTTGAAGAAGTGAAAGAAAGGCAAGAAGGTGAACGTTTGGAACTTGCAGCAGAGTTGCAGGCTGCATGGGACCAGATTCAAGCAGTACGAGATAGCGAAGCTACTCTAACCACAGAGCTCAGAGACCTGAAGGACCAGAGGAATGAAGAGAGGTTGATAACGGATGGGTTGGTTCAGGAGCTTCGTCGGCAACTACTAGAACTTGAAGAGAAGAAGTCCGAAGCAGCAACTAAAGTTGAGGAGTTGTCTAAACAACTGAAAGAGTTACGAAAGGAACAGGTATTTTGTTTCTAGCTTCTGGTTGATTTAGTTGGTGCAGTATTCCTTTTCGCGCAGACATTGGCTATGTAGTTTTATTTTATTTTATTTTATTTTATATTTTATTTTTTCCCTTGGTTGTGAACAAATTTACAGGTCCAATCACAGTGTTGTTAGATACGAGGGCATTTTGAATTCAGTTTTTCCATCTAATTGCCGCTCCGTGTCCTCTGTTTCATTATTTGACTCAGGAACTACAAGATGAGAATGAGCGCTTGACAGCCGAAATAGCAATGCTGGAGCAGGAGAAGGATAAGATATTGACCGAGAAGACAGTTCTGTTGGAGGAAAAACAGACTCTGGTCCATCGTGTTAATAATCTGGAGTTTGATAAGAGTAAAATGGCTTCCGAGATAGAAGAGCTGAACCAGTGGCTTCAAGGGCCAGCAGCTGAGAAGAAGCAGCTAGCAAAAAATTTGGATGAGATGACTCAGTTGCTTAAGGGTTTGGAATTGGAAAAAACTCAGCTGCAAGAAGAAAAGGATGAGGTGCAAGAAGATGCACGAAAATTACGTGATGTGATCAATGATCTGGAGGAAGAGAGAGCAAAGTCGTTGTTATTGCATGATGAGTTAACCCAGCAGTTGGAGTCTCTTGAGGAAGAGAAACGACAGTCTGAGAGCACTCAGAAGAAGTCCAATGTATTGATCCAGAGTTTGAACGGGGAAATCGAAGTTCTGCGGGAGGAAAATCTAAGGATGAAATCTGTTCACGATGACTTACTCCTACGGATTCAATCCCTGGAGAATGAAAAGGTTGACTTGGAGAGAATGTTTGAAGTTCAGAATGCTGAGTTAAGTTTGAAGAATCTAGAGCATGTGGATGATATTCACAAGCTTGAAAAAGGGTTGGAGCAAAGCCAGATGAAGGTTGAGCTTTTGGAAAGCCGTGTCTTTGGCCTAGAGGGAGATAGTTTCAACATGAAAGTATCGCAGGAACTGTTACTTTCTCAGTTGCAGGTGTTGCAGATCAAGGATTCCGAGCTGAGGGACACTATTCGTACACTAGAAGAGGAGTTGTTGAAACGGCATGAAAAAATTGAGATCATGAGTTGCCGTTTATCTGACTTGGAAAAAGAAAAAGACAGTTTTCTCTTTGAGCGGAAAGATCTACTCGATCGGTTTAAATTGCTGGAACAAGAGAAGATTGATGTCTTGAAGTCTCTTGATGTTTCGAATTCTTCTCTCGAAAAGTTGCAAGCAGAGAACTTAGAGCAGCTCAACAGAGCTAACTCGCTGGAAGCCGAAATGCTTGTTAAGCAAGTGGAAGTAGAGAGGCTTGAAGAGCAGAGGCAGGGTCTGTCCACAGTATATCAGGATGCACTTCTTCAGCTGCATGCTTCGGTAGAAAAGAGGGACGAACTATTCAAGGCCCTTGCCGACTCAAACTCACTTGTTCTGAAGCTCCAAGCAGAGAACGCAGTGCACATCGGTAAAATCGTCTCATTAGAAGAGGAACTGGATAGACTGCAAGCCAAGTTTCAGGGAGTTGAAGATAAGTTGGAAAGCCTGTCCTCTGCACATAGGGATGTACTCCATCAGCTGCAGGTCATTGAAGACGAGAAGGTTGAATTAGTGGAATCTCTTGATGCCTCTAATTCGTCCGTTCAAGAGCTACAAGAGAAAAACGTCGAGCAGTCGGATAGAGTGAGGTTACTTGAAGAGGAGGTGGCTTGTGAGCAAGCTGAGTTACGGAAGCTCGAAGAGCAAGCCAGATCTCTGTCTTCTGCTCTTCAAGATTCGTTCCGTCAACTGCAGGACTTGGAAGGCGAGAAGTTTGAATTGACAAATTCTCTGGATTCTTTGAATTCTTTGGTTCAGGAGCTGCAAACTAAGAATACAGAGCATGTAGATGCAGGCAAGATACTGGAAAATGAGGTCCAGCGATGGCAAGCAGTGGTGCACGGACTTGAAGCATTGCAGGAAAACCATTCTATTGCATGGCAGGATTCGCTCCTTCAGCTGCAGGCTTTGAAAGAGGAAAAGGATGAGTTGGTGAATTCTCTTGATTCATTTAACTTACTTATGCAGAAACTACAAGCAGAAAATCAAGAGCATAGCAGTAAAGCTGCCTTACAGGAAGAGGAGATGGAGCGGCAGCAAGCAGAGGTACATAGACTTTCAGAGGAGAATGAGAGCCTGTTTACTGCAAATCAGGAAACACTCCGTCAGCTGAAGGCTGTAGAAAGCAAGAAGGATGAATTGGTGACCTGCGTGGATGCGTTTAATTTGTCTTTTCAAGAGCTGCATACAAAGAATGCGCAGCACGCAGACACAGTCAAGGCCCTGCAGGAGGAGGTGGCTCGAGGGCAAGCAGAGGTGGAAAGACTTGAACACAAGACACCGTCTCTTTCTGTCGCACAACGGGAAACATTGCTCCAGATGCAAGTTCAAAAGCTTGAAGTAGAGAATGCAGAGTACGCTTGTAAAATCCTCTCACTAGAGGAGGAGGTGAAGATACTGCAAGCCAAGGTTCAGGGACTTGAAGATAAGTTGGCAAGCCTGTCCTCTGTACATCTGGACATACTCCACCAGCTGCAGGTCATTGAAGACGAGAAGGTTGAATTAGTAGAATCTCTTGATGCCTCCAATTCGTCCGTTCAAGAGTTTCAAGAGAAAAACGTTGAGCGGTCGGATAGAGTGAAGTTACTTGAAGAGGAGGTGGCTTGTGGGGAAGCTGAGTTACGGAAGCTTGAAGAGAAAATGGAAAGTTTGTGTACTGCACATGAGGGCTCGCTCCTTCAGCTACAAAATCTTGCTGAGAAGAGGGATGAATCTATCAATGCCTTCGATCGACTTCTTCGAAATCTACAAGATGACAATCTAGAGCATATCACCAAAGCTACCTCACTCGAAGGGGAAGTGCAGAGATTGCAAGCAGAGGCTCAGGGAGTTGAGGAGAAGATGGCGAGCTTGTCAATCGGGCATCAGGAATCACTCCGTCGTGTCCAGACTTTGGAGGGGGAAAAAGCTGAATTGGTTAATTCTGTCGATTTATCAAGTTTGCGTATCCAAGAGTTTCAAGCTAAGAGTGCAAAATATGCTGACACAGTAAAGAAGCTGGAGGAGGAGGTGCAGGAACTCAAAGTACAGATAAGGAATGTGTCGATTGGCCATGAAGAGTCTCTTTCTCAGGCGGAGAGGTTCGAATTACAGAATTTAACCATGAGCAACCAACTCAAAGAATGCCAGGATCTAATCCAGAGGTTGCATAATGAGAATTCGCAGTTGGCGAGTGCCGCTAGAAATCTTGAGGAAGAGCTTGATAGACGGCGGGACAAGATTGAATCTCGGGATTTGCCAATTCACAATCTTGACGACAGGGACTTTGGGGGAGCGTTTGAGGATCATGGCAAACTCTCCCAAGTGAAGTCATTGGAAGATGAGAAGGCTGAATCGGCATTTAGCTTCAAATATTTGGAAGCTGAGAATTTGAAACTCAGCAAGCTCGAGTTAATCATACATGAGAATCAGAGTTTGAGAGAGCAAGTTCAGAGGTTGGAGGTTGAGAGAGAAAACTTTGAAAAGGAGTCTGTGGTTAAGTTCAGCTCTTTGGAAGCCGAAAAATCTCAATTGCTCAAAGCCCTTGCACAATCAAACTTCGTTGTTGGGGATCTTCACGCAGAAATTGACTCTTATAAGGATTGTGTATATGACATGGGAAGAGATAAGGACGAGTTGGTGAATCAGTTAAGTCGTCTGCAAGAGGAGAATGGTGATATTTTTTCGGAGAGAGATCGCCTTCTGAGTGAAATGCAGGATTTGAGGGAGCAACTACATGAGTACGTGAAAAGACTTCAGGAATCGGATAATGATGCCAAAAAGTACAAAATGGAAGCACTGGAGCTTGCTATGCAGTTAGAGGCTTTTAAAGAACAGGTGCGCTTTTTCAACATATCATTGCAAACAAGCATCCAGCATATGGCTTATTGTATGAAGATACTTCCTTAATTTTTATGCCCATGAGTTGGAGCATGTTTTCGGTATCAATCTTGGTGATTGTCATCAGTGGCAATGTTGGTCATTTGTCGTTACCTTTGAATGGTTGTTTCGTTGGTCGATGACAAGAGACTTATGGGAATTCTAATCTTATTGCCACTGATGTGTGTACTGGTCTTCGCTACTATCTTAAGTGTATTAGTGGTTAGCTTTCGTCGATTATAGACCTATTTCACGATTGCATACTTGAATTACGTCCTCATAATATTGAATGCTGATACTATTTTTGACGCAATCGAGGACACTTATTTTGTAATGAAGTTGTCCAGTCTGTTATTTTGGATTTGTCGGCCTTAAGAAACTTTTTAAGATGAGCATTATTACATTTACCAGAGATGCTTGCTAATGTGTTGATCGCTTGGTCTACCCGCTGAACAGTTCCTAGATCTGGCGGTTACTATCGTATCAAAGCTAGTGAAATCTTAATCAATACCACTCTTTTAAGTTTTGGAAGCTTGAAAAAATAATTGCTGATTCATGATTACCTATCCTGATGTGTGGCCAGTGGTTGCGAAGTAACAATATCATTGCATTTACACCTTTCACCCTTTTTAAAGCGCAATTAGTGTCAGTTCGCGCGATTATTGCATAGATGGCTGTGCTCTATCGAAAAAAAGTGAGTCAAATGAATAAATTTCTTTAATGATTTGCTAATTCATGTTTAGTCGGTTTGTGGAATACTTAAACCTTTATACTGTTCTATTTTAAGAAATGACTTAGACATGAAGCTTCTTATTGTGCACGTTTGTACTCAAGGTGAAGGTCAGGTTTATTTCAGGGTGACGTTTATTTTAAGTAATCATTTTTTGTTTGTGATCTTGAACGTTGCAGGTAGTTAAGTTGGTCGAGGCAAATACAAAACAGGCCAGGCAGCTGGAGATGTCTACCCAGTTGGCATGCTTATCCAAGCGTAATGATGACCTTGTCAAAGACCTGGAACCTGGTCTTGATCGACAAAGTTTATCCTTTGGGTTACCTAAGCGTAATGATGACCTTGTGAAAAATCTCGAGCCTGGTCTCGATCGTCAAGTGTTGCCCTTTGGGAATGTGGAGATTTCGCACTTGACTTTTGCAAGTATTGACCCAATGGAGGAACTTCAACAGGCCATTTTGGGTTGGGTGGAGATTATCACGGCTGTTTGTCAGGAGCTTGCTAAACTGTTGCGAAGTGTTGGTGAAGAGAAAGAAAAATTGTCTCGGAAACAGGGAATGAGCAATCAGAAAGCAGATATCTTGACAAGTCTTTGTCAGGAATTGGATGAACTGATATTGAGTGTAAGAGAGAAAACAGAGAGATTTGCAGAAGAGCTAAGTTCTCTGAAGCATAAATTGGTGAAGTCAAGCAATGAGAGGGATCCTCTTGAGAACGATGGTGGTGACAATATCTACAATTTTCAGCAGCTCCCGTTAGGTGTGGAAGTTGCGAACAGAGAGACAATGTATGAAGTGGAAGCCTCCTGTCAAAAACTGCTGTTATGTCAGGAGGGCAAAACAGAGCTGGAAGCACATGTTGCTAACTTGTCTTCATGTTTAGGGGATTCTCAAGGTCAATTGAAGGCGTTGGTCGTCAAGAGTTCTGTAGGCAATCCTTATTTGCTCACGTCCAGAGTAGGCAAGTGTATCACTTGCCTGGGAAATTTTCCTTTTTTTTGTTTTTGAATTCTAATTGTGGATGTGCAGTTCTTGTAAGTTGTATTTGATCACCCTCCTCTGTACTTATGAGCATGTGGAGTTCCGTTGGACTATTTTAAATGGCGCATACTAGGTTATTGATTTTTACTAACAAAGTTTTACAATGCTTCAGATGGCGGTGATCGACAGGGATTGGCTTGCTTTTCAGCGGATGGAAATTGTGTTATGAACTATGGGAGGGACCTCAAAGTGCGAAGAGATATCAAGGCTCTTGAACAGGAGAAGAAAGAAAAGAAAGAAAATGGCACACTTCCTGCACTCTCTCAGGTCTGTGTTAAGGATGAGTTTCTGGGACTGGCTAGTACCACTGCTCATTGCTTTGTCTGACCTGTTCAATCTCAATTTGGATATTAATTTCTTACTTCCGAATATTCTGCCATGTTCTGGGTCTTTTTAGATGATACCAAATAGAGAGTACTTCGGTATGTGTGCAAGCGGTACTTGCACATTTTTTACTTTAATTATGGCTCATCCCATGCAAGAAGCATTTCGTTATCACTGAAGAAGTTCATTCTAACGTGGCAATATCTGTATGCGATTGTGATTAAACGGTATGCATGTAAAAATAATGGTAAGGTTTTCTGACCGGCACCAGTGCATTTGTTTAAACAGCGGAATCAAACGCCAGCGCGTAACTTCAAGAAATGTAAAGTCACCATGCCACAGCCTAAGCGCAGGTGGATATTTTGACGATCGATATGTAGTGGAAGAGAAACGATGGTCTTTCAAAGCAGAGTTTACATCACCCTTGAGAAGGTTGTGTTCCATATTGATGTCAACATTCTCACGAGGTTCAACATTTTGCGATCAATAAAGAGGTAACTTGGTCCAATCAACCAGCGATATTCTAATGAATAATCATATGTCCGATTTGGTGATTGTTGTTGAACGAGGCGTTGTAGAAGCCGAGAACATGTATTATTGATTTATTGTTCCCTTTCATCCGAAAAGCATGGTCAAGATGAGAGTATATGACGTGGCTGACTAGCCTTAAGGAATTTCCGCACTTTTTGTAGAATCACCAATATTCAACTTGGTCCTAATCCTCGGCTGAAATGGTCGTGCGTGTTTTGTTTGTAGTGATCTGATTGTTACTGTTTTGCAGTTTTTCAGGAACTGCGGGAGGGGGCTCAACTTTACAGCAAGTTAGTGAAATTGTGGACGGTGCTATTTTTTGTTTATTAGGCATGTGGCCTGTCGCTGTACTCAGCTTGATGGAGGTTTTATTAGTTTCAGGATTAGAGCCCAACCGTGGAATGTAGTTCTTGGTGGTCTTCTCTACCGTCATTGGTCCCCGCTCAGTTGGAGCGTGGCTCCTTTTTGTAAAGATAAGGAAACCCGGAGGGACGCAATTCATGGAGAGTGGTGGGAATATAGAAGAAGGTTCTGAGAGGATCTTACTAGGAGATATGGTACTCAGTTTTGAGGAAATTGGAATACTAGACGAAACAGCTGTCTTCCGCCATTCAAGGTAGAATAGCTGCATGTCAACCTGGTGTACGGAAAAATTCAACTAGACGATCATGGGAGAATCATTACTGGTGAAGAATCATAACTGGGAATCTAGACGGTGCATGGGAGGCACGAGTGTTGGTGTTCAGGAAGCGGTAAGTCATGTGTTTTAGAAATCTTATTAGCGGCTGAACTTCCCTGTCCCCGAATCATGAGGCGTCTTTTCGAGTGAAATTCTTAGATTAGCTTCACCTCTTCTGCAGGATTGAAGATCCTCAGGCACTGACCGCAGTTCTGCAGGTCGTACTTGTTCCAAAGTCCTGTCTCATTCGGGTCTGTTGGTAGTTATACTTCGATCTTAATTGTGTCCAGTCAGTTAAGTCATTATAAGTTAGCTTCTGCTGCTTAGATATGATAGTGATTTCTTCACTCCTAGCAGGTAGTTACCAGGAGTAGTCTCTCGGGAGTTTTGCTCTGGTGATATTCTCACCTAGCTGCCTCACTGTAATCTATTTTCATTAATATAAATTCCACCCGGTTGGGTGTTACCCATCTCAACTTGTGTAGCATCCACAATCTGTTCACAGATTGACAGTTGGAGAGTTAGACAAACTGTTCATCTGGAATCAGTCAAAGTTCAGGCGGAGTTTGGCTTCCAGTCTGACCATTTAGAGGCTAGATAGGATGAGCTAAAACAACAAAACAACATTTACATAGAGACAAATATTTATCCACATTAGTTTCGGGTCTTGAATTTTGCTTATCACATAGACTGGATGAGTGAATTACGAATTGTTTTCTTAGATGACACCAGGTGTGATAAGAATTACTTCAGTTGGATTGAATCCTTCTGCAAGGTACTTCACAATCCAATGCAGGATTCAGTGACAAGTGATTTGGGTATTATTTTATATTATTGTCCTCACCGATCAAGGTTATTCAAATATATTCTTTTTCCTCAAAAGATTCATTGTCATCCTGTTTCTTAAATTACACATTGTATGGATGTCTTCTAAAGGAATTTAATGATTGAATTAAATAATTGATGCATAGAATTGGAGTTTGATACTTTGTGGTTTAAAATTCTTTGCTTTTCCACATTATTGTTTGTTGATTAGGGCCTTTGTTATAAAGAACATGATTTAAATAAAATGATTGTCATATATGCATCTAAGTAAAATGATTGTCATATATGAAATCATTTGGGACACTTCCAAAATATAACTCTCTATTGTTTACTACCAAAGTTGGTGTAGATAATCCTCTTAAGATATATCATTTGGTTATAGGATTTTGCAAAAAATTTGCGTATCAAAGTAAAATGGTAATCATCTATCTATGGCCTAGGTTTGGTTGGAGTGTCAAAAAATCCCATTGGCTAGAGTAATAGGGGGCACTCATTGCAAAGGTATATTGAGTGTTCAATGTTTTATTTTTTTATTTTTTTAATTGCAGCAAGTTGCACTAATTGGCTACCAAGGTATTTTTTGTTTGTTTGTTTGTTTGTTTGTTTGTTTTTTTTTTTTTTAAATTGTAGTAAGAGATATTGATTGATTGCCGAAGTAACAATTGCAATGAAGGGCCCTCTACAAAAGTGACAATTGTAAGTTATAATGAAGAGCCCTTTGCAAAAGTGACAATTGTAAGTTACAATGAAGAGCCCTCTGCAAAAGTGACAATTGTAAGTTATAATGAAGAGCCCTTTGCAAAAGTGACAATGAGCACTATTAATATGAAAAATTGACTTTGAGCATTTGTATGTAACGTCAAAAAATCCCATTGGTTGAAGCATTAAAGACCATTGATTAGCTGTTGAGATATGTTTTTTTTATTTTATTTTTTCTAATTGCAATAAGAGACATTGATTTTCAAATGTAGTATATTATGTGATTTTTTTTTTTTTTTTTTTTTTTTTTTTAAATTGCACCAAAGGGCACATCAAATTGCAATGAAGGATCTTCTACAGAAATGAATACCACTTTTATTACTTAAATAAAAAAATAAATAAACTTTGAGCATTTGTATGTAGCGTCAAAAAATTCCATTGAAATTGTATGTAGTTATGTTTGTATGTAGTTATAGTGAGGTCTTTATATAATGTGGCTCCTAATGCATATTATGTACTGTACATGAGTAAGTATGAGAATTGGCTCTAATTTGGCAATCTAAATGCAATGTGCACCCTCTTGAAAGCAACAAAATGGCAATACTCGATGAAGTACCAACATCATGTGTAAGAATACAAATTCTTGGATTTTGAATTTGGATTTGAGTTTGCTTTCACATCACATATCATGCATTGCAAATGTTTGTATTCGCTTTAATGTTTGTATTTACAATTGATGCTTTTGAATACCATGTTCTTTGATCCTATGCATGGCTTTTGAATGAAACAATGATGGAAATGGCAGCCTTTTTACTTGCTGCTGTTGATGTATATTGAATGTTATACATGATTGGGTGTAGGAATTGGCTCTATTTTCCTACCAATTTGGTAATTTAAATGCAATTTATACTATCCTAAAAGCAATAGAGTAGCAATACTTAATGTGCTTTGTAACATGTCAAAGCAATAAAAATTTAGAGCAATAGAAAGTTCACAAAAAGTTAAGAACAACAATAAGAAAGACTGCCAAAAGTGAGACTTTACAAAAAGCCAAAGCAAGAAAAATGATATTTGCATAAAAAGTTTGCATTGCACTAGTGCAAAAAAATGTCTAACTTAAGAAAAATGACACACACACTCAAGGTAATGCACCAAAGTACACTTATTATTGATGTATCTACTCTTGTTTCACAACTTATACAACCAAACAACTTTGAATTTGCTGAATATATGTAAATTTAATTGGAAAGGTGAAGATGATGCCAATGGCGCTGAAAATCCAATATTGTAGCTATGCTCAATGATATCTTACAGTAATATTGTCTTTATATAAAGTCAAAGCAAGCAAAATAGATGTTTGTACAAAAAAATTTAAACCTCACTTGCATAGTAAAACTTGCAACTCGGAACAAATGGCACATAAAGGCAAGAAAAAATGGCTCTTTAGTGCTGCTTGGCAGATGCATACTTACTATTGCTGCTCTTGCTTTAGAGCCTACATAAGCAAACAACTTCAAATATATTCAACACATATAAATGAAGTGCTATCTGAACATTTTGTGTTTGTAGAATAAGAGTCATATTATTTTTATACTATGAATTTTATATAGGTTGTGAATTACAATGAAGGTAATGAATTTTGTTAAAGGCAAATTAAGTTATAATAAAGAGTCTTTTGTAAAAGTAATAATTATGATGAAGGCAAATTAAGTTACAATGAAGAACCTTCTATAAAAGTTTTTTGAAGAACAACAATAATAAAGTGGAGCAATAACAATTGACATGAGCAACTTCAAATTTACTAAACGCGTATAAATCAAATAGAGTGTGATCATGGTTCTATGAATTTAGACTATGAATTTATAATTTTGTAAAGTTTTTGTAAAATTTAATGAGATTTCTATGAATTTAGAATTTTAGAATTTTTTAATGCTTTTTGTGAATTTATAAATTTAAAATTCTATGAATTTAGAATTTTTTAAAGCTTTTATAAATTTAAAATATGAATTTTATGAAGGTAGAAACCATGGTAACCACACGGATTTTGTATTTGTAGAAGAAATGAAAGAAAAAGAATTTATGGTGAAATTCATAGCATCTACTATACAGTCATGAAGCAACAAAGAATTCAACTAATAGAATGAAGGCAAATCAAGTAGTAGTAAAGAATTCTTTGCAGAAGTTTTTTGAATAACAACAATCTAAATTGAAACAATAAAGTGGAAGATTAGCAATAACAATACAGAGAAGAAAAAAACAATCGTGCAAATGGAAGTGTAATGTAGCAAGAGTGTGGAAGGCCATAAAATATATGCAACCTTTGCGATACAACTTGTGAATGTATAGAGAGATTTGCTGCAAAATCCAACTTCAAATTTATTGGCTGTATGCAAACTAAGTACATCATAAATAGAGATATGAAAATTTAGATAATGAATTTAGAATTTTTATAAATTTTTATAAATTTAGGCTATGGATTTCATAAATTACATGAATTTAGACTTTAAATTTCATTGAATTTCATTAAATGATTTTATATTGAAAAAATAATTTATAATAAGATTTATAGCAACTAATATGCAGTTATGAAATAGGAAAGAATCAAATCAGTTTTATGAAGGCAAATCAAGTTGCAATGAAGAGCTCTTTGTAGAAGTTTTTTTGAATAACAATAGTCTAAATTGGAACAACAAAGTAAAGTTTGTGAAGTTTTTGTGAATTTAGAATTGTGAATATTGTAAGCAAAATCAACAACAAAGAACTATACCAAGAATAAAATAATAATAAAAAAAAAAAAAAAAAATTTGTAAAGTTTGAGATTTTCTATTTAATGCTCAATGGTACAAATAGAAGTACAGTACGACATAGGTGTAGAAGGCTACAAAAATATGCAACTAATATGGAAAAAATTACCACAAAAGCTAAATACAATGAAGAGAGTTAGAAGCAAAAATAGAAAGAGCTAGCAAAATTTACATGATTTTATTGAAAAATGGAAGAGGAATGGCAAGAAGAAGAAAGGCTACCAATGACAGCAATAACATCAACAAAGTGGTATACATTGTTTTTGGAGTTTGATATAAGGAATCTCCAAGTCAATCACTAAATATGTGAACAAGATAAAGAACCAAAGCAAGAAGAGAGATCGGCAGTAATGGCAATAATAGTAAGCCAAAGTATGAGAAGAATGGATGTAGAGGATTTCCAAATCAATTTTTAGGAATGTGAGCAAGAAGAGGAATTAGAGCAAAGAAGAGAGGTTACTAGAAATGGCAGTAGTAGCAACAAATAGAGGTGCAATGTATTTCAAGGCTAATGTAGACGACTATATTAATACATTATTACCAAAAGCATTATGTGATATTAGGTATCTTCTAGCAAATTTCTTTTTTAATTTCCAAGATGTAAGAAGAATGAATTAGACATGTGAGTACTATAGGATATTTTTTTGTTTTCTCAAAGAAAACCATTGGCTCATGAATCAAGTCTTTATAGAGTATTCAGAATGTTTTAGAAAGAGACAAGAATAGCTAAAAGTAATGTGTACACAAATGTAAAATACACACATACAAATATAAGAAGGAGTTTATTGATATAATTATTTTTCATATAGAAAGAGAAGAGAAGAAGATAAACAGTTTCTTTCTACTATATTCCAAATATTGTAGATACAATATTTATTGTAAATTATAATAAATATTATAGAGAATGTTGGTTATATTAAATGCTCTTAATATTCCTCTTTGCTCATCATAATATTTATATAACATAAAATATGCATAGAATTATGATCTATACTTTTTTATAATTTCACAAGATTAATAATTGTTGCCTCATTAAAATCTTATCTAAGAAAACCTTATTGTATTCAAGGAAAAAACTTTAGATGAAAGAAAAAGAGTATAATATTATTTTAAGAGTTCATTAATTTTCTTGCTCAAGAAAAGTAAAG